TAAATGAGAACGTTTATGATAAATATTTTGAAACGTTTGGCATAATGTTCTTCAGAAATAATTTTAATAATTATAATAATTCAAATCAAATTTGATGAAAAATAAAACTAAAACTTCTAATTTTTTAATGATTAACTTGGGGGCAGGGTGCCCCAATTGTATCGTTGTGCTTTATAGTGAGCTATTTCATGTGTCTTTGGCGTCAGTTTTGCCTTGCAAATTTGCTCTCCTTGTAAGTGCGATAACGAAACCAAGGGGAAGTAGTAACTGTACCTCCAAGTGGTCCTGCCCGCAAGTAGCCCCTCGTGGGCGAAACTAAACAGTTACTGCGTTTCTTACTATTAAAAAACAGTCCTTTTAAGGACTATGGCAAAGAGACAGAAAACCTCTGATACAGACGACGAGGTGTCGTCGCAGGAAATGGAAGTTTCCCTGCATGATGAACGAATTATAACGGCAGAAGGAATCAGAGATAATATAGAGGAGTATATGCTGAACAGTGGCAAAAGTCGGATAAACTCCAAAAGCCACGTGAGCTACGTGGTTGAACAAATCGATAAATTAATAGACTTATTTCGCCACAAAGAAGAAGCGGTACCGTTGCAAGCCGCAATGGAAAACATCAGCAAAAAGCTGGATCAAGTTTTGAATAAACAGACTTCTTTTCCGCAAAGTTATGCACAGGTTACTGCACCTAAGAAGACAAGTAAACCTAAAGAGGTTATTTTGGTGGAACCGTCGAAAGAAGGAGATGATCCTNAACCGAGTCTAATAGCTATCACGCAACGTAGAATAACAACATAATGTAGTGTAATGGTTCTCAAAATGGGTATACCGTCCCGTGAGCATCGAGTAAATGTAAGAAAGCGAAAAGAAGCAAGTGGGCGGCAAGATACTGATGACCGTAGGCGAAAGTTGGGTCACTGAGAACCTTTTCTTTTCTTCTTAAACAAGTAAAAAGAAAGACTGCGTTTAATAGATTCCAAATGTGGAGAACAATGCACGGTAAAGACAAAGTGTGAATTTCATCAAAGAAAGTTTTTCTAAGAATATTTTCACGTCTATCTCACACAAGGAAATTGAGTTAGGAGGCGTTGGGGTGCATTTAGGGACGTTGGTACTACTAGACGTATAACTTTATGGAACCAAGGTGGCGGTGACTCAAAAAAGTGGGAATCACTGGTATAGTACCTTATCTATAGTTGAAGTCCATGAATGATGCGGTTCTATCACTCATGAAAATCTCCAGTTATAGCTCGAATTCGATCTCAGGTCTCTATAACAGCAAGCCACTATGACCATTCAGTCAACAAATTACAATGAGAAATGTTTAATATTTTTAAAGTTAAGTTGACAAGTAAATTTGGTTTATTTGTGTGGCAACGTGACACGTGGGCGATCTGCCGAGGGGAATGCCTCACGGGAGGTCTTTATGGGAAATTTGCTTTTATTTAGCTGTTACTAACGTAAAAAAATTCCACGGGGCCAGCCCGTTGGCCAGGCTCGAACCCATAACCAACTACAATGTATTAGTGGTTTAATCCACTCTGCCACCAATGGGCGTCCTAACAAGAAGAAAGATCAGGGCGTTCGCAATAAAAGCTATAAAAAAGCACAAGCTATAAAAAAGGGCATTGTATACATTACTCAAGGAATGTCAAATGTGATTCAACTTCGGATCAGCGCTCCCACAAGATAGCGCTGGTTGAACTCGGGTCTAAGTTGGTTTTGAAAACAAGGAATGGGGTTTTGGTCAACGTACGACGAAGTTGAATGGACAAATATTGTTCATTAGTTTCTTATATATTTGTAGAATAGGCTAGAAGTCACGAATGTTTTGTTGTTTAGTGCCCCCTTGGGATTAGGAAAAGGGCAACCGAGACGAAAAGGGGGCACGTACCCCAAGTACCCCAATGTACATGCGCCCTGGAAAAAATATACAGTATATATTCGTATATTGTTGATTGTAGATGTAGCGTCGCAACTCTACTTTTCCTAAGAATTCTGTTTGCAATGTTTTTTCTGTTGTATTTCCAATACATAACATGACAACATGGCAAACAAAATTTTTACGAAAAGTGGAGTTATGACACTAATCCTCAGCCTGCGATATATCTAGAGATTTCATTTTCATTGAAGTCTCTTAAGATTATTTTTATATAATAATTTTTCCCACGTTTTCAATTAAATAATATTAAATTAATATTTTGTTTCGATTTTTATACTTAAATTAATATTCTACAAAATTATTTTATAACTAAAAATATATAATAAGAAAAAATAAATATTGTCATTTATTTAAATTTTATATTCTTTAATAAATTTTATTATTTATTATCTCACTTTACTTAAAATTAATATGAATAATAAATTTTATATCAGTTAAAAATAATTGTTTTTTTTAAAAATATTTTAAGTATAGATATGGATGGCAAACTGTTTAATTTGACAATAAAATCATTCCCGCCATTTTGTCAAATGGTCGTCTGTTTTCTATGTTTTGTACAGGATTGTCTAAGGACTGTTTTTATTTTATATAGTGGCATTTTTGCCGCTTAGTAAAATAATATAAATAATGTACATCAAACAGGTAAGTGCAATTGAACTTCGATTCCATCATAAAATATATTTCGGATGAAAGCATTATGATCTTTTAATTCGGTAATATGAATTCAAGAAGTAAAAGTAAACAAATCACATACCCTTTGATTGTAGTGACACACAACACAAACTCTTAATTACAATCATTTCTATGATTATAATTAAGAATCGTCAATCAAAAATTTTATAAATGTTATGTGTAGACACAAATATCTCCACTGTAATGCTTATTGGAAAATACATAAAAGTTTTGATTCTGTGATAAATATCAATAACAAATGAAACTAAGGTGAAACTAAAACACTTTGTACTTTTGTTTGCTTGATAAACATTTTATTTAATAAGTTATTAGATATTATATGTCATTTTTATATGTTTTTTGAAATTCATTCTTTGATTTTATTTTGGCATGAGTAAGAATTGTTTTGATCGTTGAATTTACTTAATAAGAGATAACTTTTCAGATGTTTTCATCTATATATAATATAATAAGCTTAATATACCTGTGTTAATGTGGAATAATAACTTTGTGTCATTTTTGGAAAAATATATATAAAGGAATATAATTAACTTACTAACTTCAAAGATTCATTACTATAATCTTAGAAATAAAATCTATTAATTAAGAAATCATTTCTGTAGTCTGGAATATCTATACATTAGTTAATAGGCATTACTGAATTGTTGATAGCAGTGGCATGCCATTCATGGAAGCTGTGGAAGCACTGCTTCCCTTATATTTTCTAAAATATAAATACAAATTGTATGATTATTCTCCTATTTTAACCTACTTTTAATTAATTAAAATTAATATTTTATTATAACCGTATTATGTATCTTATTTCTATACTATGTGTGAAAAAAATGATAAGATTATTATTGTATATTTGAATATAAATTCATATGTGCATATTCCCAATGGAAGCACTGTATTGTCGAATACAGGACAATTTTCATGGTGAAAATATTTGAATGGTGTAAAGCAGCCAGATTGTACACATTTGCAGATGCACTTCACAGAGCACCAACCTCACGCAGTTTAGCTCATGGATACTACACACCAAAATATAGTATAATGCTTCCAATGATTTTATCCAGGGCCGGCACAGCTTCCCTATCATCACATGCCACTGATTGATAGTAATGTTTTTTGAATTACGTCAAGTTTAGCCATTGCTTATTTAAACAGAAAAAAGATCTTTTGGTTAGATCACTTTCGTCAGTTTTAGCTGAAATTATAATGAGGGAAATGGACAAAATGTATTTTTATCATTTATGGTTGAATTTTGAGATGAATTTATGGTTGATACAAAAAAATTTAACATATAAAATTATGTATATTTTGAAGAAAATATATATTTAATAATGGAAATTAATTAACAGTAGTGTTCTGCTTATTCAATATCAATTAACAGTCAACAACATACTAGTTTTTGAATATGATTATATACCAAATTGTTCCAATTTACTATGACTTCTTTCTCTAGTAATAAAATGTTAGAATGCGAGATAGAACATATTAGTTTAAAAAATTGGAACAACCAATAAATGAATACATAATGTATTAGATATAAAATAAAATAAAACTAAAAATGAAATATTGGCAATAATTTTTAAATTATGAAACTTTCATAATTTTAAAAAACCATTGCTGATATTTCATTTTTATTTTATTTTATATCTAATACATTATGTATTCATTTATTGGTTGTTCCAATTTTTTAAACTAATATGTTCTATTTTGCATTTTAGTTCAGTTGTGTATTTAGACCTAAAGATCTGTTCATGATCGAGAACATTAGTCACTAATAAAAAATTTTCAACTGGAGATACAAAGGACATTTTTATTACAATTAGACCCAGTTCATTTGTATTGCTGTAGAATTATTCTTTCTCTAGTGCCATTGCTTTAACACTGTTGGGGTATTTACTAAATGAATTGGAATTTTTTTGACTTGAATATTCATTAACCTGTATGTGGATCCAATGTTGAAAAATTCATTGCCCTCTTTGCTTAATTTGATCATATAAATTCCAGGTATTCTACTTTCTGCCCTTGGTCCTTTATCTGGTCTAACTATCTGTATGATAGAGGATAATTTCCTAATTCCCATTTGGATGTCATATTTTTTTGCAATGGTACTATTACAGCTGCTATGGCTTTACCTGTAACTAGCATCTCTTCCTTATTTCTCTCTGACTGATTTCCCTACTCAACTGTTCCACATGTTTATCAGCCAAATGATTGCCAAATTATATTGGGCTTTATTACTACTACAGTAGAACCTCGATTATCTGGATTTTCGATTATCCGGATTGTTCAAAATAAACAAAAATTTTACGAATTTGCTGATTTGCACTTGGCAAATTACGACACTGTTTATGTACATGGCAAACTGTTTAATTTGACAATAAAATCATTCCCGCCATTTTGTCAAATGGTCGTCTGTTTTCTATGTTTTGTACAGGATTGTCTAAGGACTGTTTTTATTTTATATAGTGGCATTTTTGCCGCTTAGTAAAATAATATAAATAATGTACATCAAACAGGTAAGTGCAATTGAACTTCAATTNTAGAATATTCCTATTAAAAAAATTTTTTTTAAAAACTGGATCAAAAGTTTAAAACGCATTTTATTAAGGAAAAAAATAAAGTTATTGAAGTGTTTTCGAGATTACATAATTTATATACATATATGATTTTAACTGGCCTACAAACAGTCGAAAGAATTCAAAAGCGAAAAAAGTTTCTGGAACGATTCCAAAAGAATTATTACTAGTTAGCAAATATTATATTTTTATATTGTAACAAGCTTTTGGAATTTAAATATTGTTGATCTCGACATAAGACGCGATTCCAACAAAAGAAAGGTTGAAAAGTCTCTTAGGCGCTTTGTCACTGGAAGCCAAACTTGTAAGCTTACGTCGTTTACCCTTCTTAAATGTTAAACTTTATCACGAAATTCAAAATCTTAATAGAGCATATTGAATAAACAGAAACGCGCAAATCATGGTTTTAATACTTTGCCGACTAAAAGGTGGGGTGCGTGCAAAACGTAAAGCTAATCTTAGTCTCATATCTTGCATGCAGATTTCACGCGCGTTTAATGGGAAGTGGCACAGTGTGGCTAGCCTCGTCTGTAAATGAAATTCTATATGTTCATACAACAATGTGAATGGGCGAGCGGTTAAGGTGTCAGCCTACCGCTCTGGGGATTCCGGACGAATCCAATCGGCTCGAAAAATCTCATGCATTTTTTTCTGAGATGGTCTGTCCTGGATATATCGGGTTCCGTTCATCACCACCCTATTTTATTGATATGAGGTCTCTGGTTTCTTTCACCCAGTTCTCTAGGGCATTTGTACGGATTTGCACCGCGACCAACCAGTCGTCCCGTGACCTTATTGAATTTTTGATGACGATGATGATAAAAAAGGCATGAACTTAAATCAAGCCGATTCCATATCCAGTGTCACAAGAAGGATAAAAATGTGCTCCTAGAGAAATAAATAGTAATAAGTGCCGTATATTGAAAGCTTTAATTTTTTTCTTTTTATTGGGCAAAAGTTGCATAAAATAACTAAAATATTAAAACATTTTAAAACTTGCCATTCTATCAATATTAATTCAATTTGCAAATATCTTCATTTCAATAAAATGTATTTAATCAAATAAACTAACAAAAATTTTTTTTTACTATATATGGTTAAAGAAAAACTGAAATATTTTAGATAATTTTATTAATTGATTGTAATTATCACGAAAATGCGTATATTTATTTAATGCAAAGAGGTGAATAGACAGACTAGCCATGTGAGCGCAAGTTACTGTATCAGCTTTGATATTCATACTGCCGTATGAATACTAGATTAGTACAGTGCAAATCTTGAGCGACTATTTTGATGTAATTTGATTTGTAATGTAATGAGCAATATATAAAAGTCTTATTGCTTTAATAATTTTTTTAAACAAACTACATAAATAAATAAAAATGTAACAAAATTGGGAAGTAATGATAAAATATTGGCCCATTTTTAAAATGTAAGTACTGTATATTATTTGAAAGATATTCAAAAGAATCTTAAAACGTTATTTTTTTAAATCTTAGGATCTCTCCTTATTACCTTTATAGAGCCATGTCGCTAAAAGCAAAAAAATTATCTTAATAAAAATTGAAGATCACGTTGCGCCCTTGTCATCATGCCTAATTAGTATTTTTTACTACAAAACGGTTTTTCACGCTATACGAGGTCTGTTCAAAAAGTATCGGACTTTTATTTTTTCCGCGTAAACCAATGATGCGCGTGAGGCCTCTTTCGGTGGAGTTGTGGAGGGGACAGTTATGCACAGCCCTGAATTTTTTCCTGCCTGCAGGAAGCGTCAGTCGTTGGCAGTCGGCCTATCAGTGAGGACATGTAGTGAACTCTCGTCGGATTCCACTAAGTTGGAAAATGACTGAACAACGCGAGCAGCGATATTACATCGGATTTTGCCAAAAACCTTGGCAATATCCAAGCGTAAACCATTCGCAAGATTCAGCAGGTTTTCGGGGACGATCCTCGAGGCCAAAAAAGCGCGGCAGATCCGCAGCAATATCAAGATCATGTTGACAGTTTTTTCGACTCTCGTGAAGTGGTGTATCGTGAGTACGCACCACAAGGCCAAACCATCGCAAAGTAGTACTACCAGGAGGTCCTTCGTCGTCTTTTCGATGCTGTTCGACGCAAACGACCAGATCTGTGGTCGATCAAAACTTGGCAGCTCCGTCGTGATAACGCATCCGCCCATTCTGCGCATCTGATTCGGGCTTTCGTCGCCAAACACAACACTCCTGTGGTTCGTCACGCTCCGTACTCTCCTCACATGGCTTCGTGTGATTTTTGGCTATTTCCCAAACTGAAAATGCCGCTAAAAGGAATCCGATTTTAGTCGAGAGAAGACATCGTACGGAACGCGACGGACCGGCTGATGGCCATTCCAAAAGATGCGTTCCAGCGGTGTTTCCAACAATGGCAAAAACGCTGGGAGAAGTGTATACACTACCAAGGAGACTACTTTGAAGGGGATTAAGGTTTTGTACCTCAAAATCAATAAATGTATTTTTTCCGACCAAAGGTCCGATAGTTTTTGAACAGCCCTCGTATATTGGGAAGTATCGATAAAGGTTATTTAAGCTTTAAAGCTAAATATAGTAAATAATACAGATAAAAATATTGTGGGTACCGCTTTGAAGCGCCAAGTTTATCTTTACCAAAGAAAGACTCCTAAGAAAAAACTTTGTCATTTAAATTGTCATAATTTTTTACTTCACGCAATTTTTTTACATCTCAGATGTTTTGCTTGGATATCAATTGTTGTTTGGTTAATGATTATGTTATTACATCAAGACCTAAGACGGTTATGCTTATGTAAAGCATGTACTGAAGAGGGGTTAATAGAGGGGCTATCACATGATTTGGAGCAACATAGGCACTATTTTAATTGTCAGATTACTAAAATAACTTTTAATGAAATTTTAGTGTGCTGCATTCTTATAGATTTCTACGAATAGTGCAATTGCTATTATTGTCTTTTCTAAACGTGTAAAAAGAATTTCGTATTTAATTCCGACTCTTAGGAACTATGATGCAAAGTCCAATCGCTGCGGCTATTCTGCCGATTGTTATACCTAATAGTGCCTATTGCACATTTAATTGTAATTAATATGCAATTCAATAAGCATTTATATACAATAATTTAACAAAATTTATTACGAATTATGTGTAGAGAAGCCGCTTACCGTTGAGGTTTGAAAGACCATTTTACTGCGTTGAAGAAACAGACTACGAGTACTGTCGCAATTTCTTCAACCGAGTCTAATAGCTATCACGCAACGTAGAATAACAACATAATGTAGTGTAATGGTTCTCAAAATGGGTATACCGTCCCGTGAGCATCGAGTAAATGTAAGAAAGCGAAAAGAAGCAAGTGGGCGGCAAGATACTGATGACCGTAGGCGAAAGTTGGGTCACTGAGAACCTTTTCTTTTCTTCTTAAACAAGTAAAAAGAAAGACTGCGTTTAATAGATTCCAAGTGTGGAGAACAATGCACGGTAAAGACAAAGTGTAAATTTCATCAAAGAAAGTTTTTCTAAGAATATTTTCACGCCTATCTCACACAAGGGAATTGAGTTAGGAGGCGTTGGGGTGCGTTTAGGGACGTTGGTACTACTGGACGTATAACTTTATGGAACCAAGGTGGCGATGACTCAAAAAAGTTTGGGAATCATTGGTATAGTACCTTATCTATAGTTGAAGTCCATGAATGATGCGGTTCTATCACTCATGAAAATCTCCAGTTATAGCTCGAATTCGATCTCAGGTCTCTATAACAGCAAGACACTATGACCATTCAGTCAACAAATTACAATGAGAAATGTTTAATATTTTTAAAGTTAAGTTGACAAGTAAATTTGGTTTATTTGTGTAGCAACGTGACACGTGGGCGATCTGCCGAGGGGAATGCCTCACGGGAGGTCTTTATGGGAAATTTGCTTTTATTTAGCTGTTACTAACGTAAAAAAATTCCACGGGGCCAGCCCGTTGGCCAGGCTCGAACCCATAACCAACTACAATGTATTAGTGGTTTAATCCACTCTGCCACCAATGGGCGTCCTAACAAGAAGAAAGATCAGGGCGTTCGCAATAAAAGCTATAAAAAAGCACAAGCTATAAAAAAGGGCATTGTATACATTACTCAAGGAATGTCAAATGTGATTCAACTTCGGATCAGCGCTCCCACAAGATAGCGCTGGTTGAACTCGGGTCTAAGTTGGTTTTGAAAACAAGGAATGGGGTTTTGGTCAACGTACGACGAAGTTGAATGGACAAATATTGTTCATTAGTTTCTTATATATTTGTAGAATAGGCTAGAAGTCACGAATGTTTTGTTGTTTAGTGCCCCCTTGGGATTAGGAAAAGGGCAACCGAGACGAAAAGGGGGCACGTACCCCAAGTACCCCAATGTACATGCGCCCTGGAAAAAATATACAGTATATATTCGTATATTGTTGATTGTAGATGTAGCGTCGCAACTCTACTTTTCCTAAGAATTCTGTTTGCAATGTTTTTTCTGTTGTATTTCCAATACATAACATGACAACATGGCAAACAAAATTTTTACGAAAAGTGGAGTTATGACACTAATCCTCAGCCTGCGATATATCTAGAGATTTCATTTTCATTGAAGTCTCTTAAGATTATTTTTATATAATAATTTNGTAATTATAAAAATTAATTTTAAATTCATTTATGTTGCTTGAAATTATATTTTAATATATTGTAGTATGTACTAATCAAGCAAAACAGCCTTTTTAATAATAAAATAGCAATTTTAGAGTTTTGAAACCCACAAATTCAATTTTATTCATGACTAGCAGTCCCCGCCACGCGTTGTTGTGGCTCAAAATGTATCTATTATAAATGTTATAACACTTCCCCTGTGGGGGGTAATTTTTCGAAAAATCCCTTTTTAGTGTATATTCTGTTGACGTACCTTATTAAAACTCAA